ATGTAACATCAATTCTTCTAAAACTTTTTACTGGAATTGAGAAAGAAGGAATTCTCCCCAACTCATTCCTGGAGGAAAGTATTATTCTTATCCCAAAACCAGAAAGACCCAACCCAAAGAGAGGACTACAGGCCAATCTTCCTAATGAATATTGATGCAAAAATTCTCAATAAAATACTAACAAACAGAATACAACAAATCATCAAGTGGATTATACACCATGACCAAGTGGGATTCATCCCAAGAATGCAGATATGGTTCAATATATGCAAATCAATCAATGTAATACACGATGTCAATAGAGCCAAGAACAAAAATCACATAATCATCTCCATCAGTGCAGAAAAAGCCTTCAATAAAGTCCAACAGTCATCCATGATGAAAACCCTACAGAAAATAGGAATAGATGGCCTTTACCTCAACCTGATCAAAGCCATCTATGATAAACCAATAGCTAACATCACACTAAATGATCAAAAATTGAAAGCTTTCACTTTAAAATCAGGAACAAGACAAGGATGTCCACTGTCACCACTCCTACAATATAGTTCTGGAAATATTAGCTAGGGTAATTAGACAAGAGAGAGAGAGATAAAAGGAATAAGGATAGGAAAGGAAGAAGTGAAATTATTATTATTCTCAGATGACATGGTACTCTACATAGAAGACCCCCAAAACTCCACCAAAAGGCTCGTGGATTTAATAACCAAATTCAGTAGCATAGCTGGATACAAAGTTAACACCCAAAAATCAATAGCATTCCTGTACACAAGTAACAAATAGACTGAGAGAGAAATTAGGGAAACCACACCTTTCACAATAGCATCTAAAAAGATGAAATACTTAGGAATCAATCTAACAAAAGAAGTAAAAGATCTATTCAGTGAGAACCACAGTACTCTGAAAAAAGAGATCAAAGAGTATTTCAATAAATGGAAAAACATTCCTTGCTCAGGGATAGGAAGAGCCAACACTGTGAAAATGGCCATACTCCCAAAATTGTAGTACAGATTCAATGCAATCCCAATTAAAATACCATTAGTATACCTCACAGATCTAGAGAAAAAACTCCTAAAGTTCATCTGGAACCAGAAGAGGCCTAGAATAGCAAAAACAACCCCGGAAAACCAAGGAAAGGCAGGAGGTACCACAATTCCTGGCTTGAAATTATATTACAAAGCACTGTGATAAAATCAGCATGGTACTGGCACAAAAAAAGACCTGATGATCAATGGAACAGATTAAAAGATACAGATACAACTACAAACACACTCAGTCACCTTATCTTTGACAAGAGGGCCAAACATGTTCAATGGAAGAAAGATAGCCTCTTTAATAGATGGTGCTGGAAAAACTGGCTTTCCACATGCTGAAGACTAAAACTAGACCCATGTCTTTCACCATGTACTAAATTGAAGTCAAAATAGATCAAAGGTCTAAATATTAAAACAGAAACACTAAATTTATGGGAAGAGAAAGTAGGTAAAAATCTTGAAGGCTTTGGGATGGGCAGAGAGTTCATGAACAGAAAACAATTTGCACAGGAAATACTTCAAACAATCAAAAACTGGGATCTCATCTTATTGAAAAGTTTTTGCACATCTAAAGAAATCACCAATAGAGTAAAAAGAAAATCCACAAATTGGGAAAAAAATTTAGCCAGCTGCCTCTCAGACAAATGACTTCTCTCTAAGACATATAAAGAATTTAAAGAAATCAGGCCCCTCAAGTTCAAAGACCCATTCCAAAAGTGGGCATCTGAGATGAAGATGGCAAATCTTCATTTCCATCTTACCCCAGAAAGAGTGGCTATCATAAAGAAATCAACCAATAAAAAATGCTGGAGAGGCTGTGGGGAGAAAGGAACCCTCCTCCAGTGCTGGTGGGAGTGTAGACTGGTAAAACCACTGTGAAAATCAGTTCGGAGATGCCTCACAAAACTAGGATTGGAAATCCAATTTAACTCAGCTATTTCCCTTTTGTGTATTTTCCCAGAAGAATTAGACATCATACCACAGCATTATATGTGCACCCATGTTTATAGCAGCACAATTTGTTATAGCTACATTTTGGAAGCAACCCAGATGCCCATCCAAGGCGGAGTGTATAAAATCAGGGGTATTTTTATACAATGAAGTATTGCTCAGCTATAAAAAAGATAAACTCGAGGCTTTTATAGGTAAATGGATGTAACTAGAGACCATACTCATAAGTGAAATAAATCAGGCCCACATGTGTAAACATCACATTGTCTCCTTGGTGTAGGAACCTGAAAGAATAGGTAAAACTCAAAATGTATAATAGATGATAGAAAAGTGAAAGAAACTACTCAAAGGAAGGAATGACTTGGATGAGGGAAGGATGAAAAAAGAAAGAAGGAAGGCAGAATATAAGTATATATATGAATAGGTGTGATAACTTTATTGCTGATGTCTGACGGTATATTGAAAGGAACAGTTAACGCTTAAAATTTTTTATGTTCTAATGAATTTTGCATGCTTGTGTCTGGTAATCTGGGCAGCTGATTTGAAGGTAATAATATGCAATGGAATTTCCTTGGTGAATTCCTACCATCTTGTCTAGTGAAACTCTGTATTATCTCTAATATTTTATCTTATAATTATTTTCTTATTCTCTTTGATGGTTTGAACAGTTTTTCATTCTTACGTCTGGTAATCTGAGCAACATAGTTGAGGATAGAGATATTTAATGTAACAACCACTGTTGATTTGATTTAACTTATCTTGAGACCCTGTATCACTTTGAATGTTCTTGATTTGATTTGCTTATGTTCATGATACTGGTATGCTGCTATTGTTCTATTTTTTGTTTGTTTGTGTCTCATTTACTACTCTCTTTAAAATAAAATTCAAAAAAAGAAGAATAAACTAAATTTTAACATACCTTTGCTACAGTATACCCCCATAGTCTCATATGTTTGAAAGGTGATTGGATCATGAAAGGAATATATTTATTGGTAGATCGGTCCACTGCTGGATTTAGAGCTAAATGTGCTCTGAACATTTAGAAAGTGGGCCCGGTAGGAAGAGGTGTGTCCTGGAATTGCAGATCACACTAGTTCTTCTCCTTTCTTTTCTGTTTCTCAGTTGACATGACACCTTTCCCGGAAGGCAGACCCTTCTACCTTGCTGTTTCTGCAGCATAGCCTCCTGACCATGGACTGAAACTTTTGAAACTGTGAGCCAAAATAAGTGCCTCCTCCTCTGAGTTGTAGGTGTCAGGTATTTTTGTCCCAGTGCTGAGGACAGTGGCTAGACACCCATTACATATAAAAACAGTATTCATTGTGAAATTTATCTTTAGTCCTAAGTAACTAATTCTTGTCTTGACACCTTAGCTTAGGAGACAACTACTTTGAGGTTGGCCACTTCTGAATGCAAGGATTGTGAAAGCTTTAATTCTGTCTTTATGAAGATGCCAGTTCTCCTTGCAGTAATAATGACAGCTTCATTTTGGCAAATCAGGAATCCATGAATTCATTTTCCTGAGGAGTCAAATAGTAGTTTTTTGCCAGACATCTTTTGCAATTTTAAGAACTTCTGATTTGTGGTTTGTAGGAGGTATCTTGGGCAAATGTAAGGGAAGAGCACAAACCACTTACTGAGACACAACTGAATGGTTCTGGCCAGTACATTAGTCAGAATTATTCTAATTAGGAAAATAGAATCCTCTACTACTATGTGTGATTTTTAAGTGTCCTGAAAACAGAAATATTTTTATATTTATAACATTTAATCTATATGTAATCAACCTAGAGAGGTTGTCCCTTTTTATTTTTGTTATTGCTTTTTGTGTTCTTGTTTTTGTTTTTAGGCAGAGTATCACTATGTAGTGCAGGCTGGCCTTGAACTCACTTATGTAGCCCACCTAGCCTGGAATTCATGACAATCCCCCTGCTCAGCCTCTCGAATGCTAGAATTACAGGCATGTGCCATCACACCCAAAATGCTTTTTGATTTTAAATAGTTCCTTCCCCACTGTAGTATCAAACTGATAGGATAACTTGGTTCTCACCATTATATTACACTAACTGAAAATATAAGAACATACACATACTCTTGTCATTTGAAGTATAACCCATATTACAAAGTTTAAAATACATCTTTAATGTGTTGCAGAAGCTTCCAGCAAAACCTCAAGGGGGCTTAGATAAACTGATATAACACTTTTTTATCTCTGCAGTAATTTAACATTTTCATTAAGCGGTATTTGCAGCCTATATATGGGGAAAGCAATAGCAAACATAATTGTTAAAGACATATTGATAGTATTAATATATAAACAATTCATTTGTGTCTAAAGACAAAATAGTTATAAAGTCAACTATAAAAATCAGAAATAATATATTAAATTCAGTAGTAAGCAACAATTTATAGAATTTAAAGTTTTTAAGAAATAAAATATTTTGATCAAAAAAGAATGACAGACTCAATACAAAAGCACGAGACTGAGAAGCCCCTCAGGAAATTATCCCTATATAAGATAAGGAAATTCTGTTCTCTATAAAAGTCATAACAAAGAAGACATTTTTGTTGTTGTTGGTTTAAAAAGAGGAGAATGTTTATTAAAGAACATTTTCCCCTCAATTCTTAGTTTTTTGTCTTTTTTACTCATAGTTTGTTTTCACCTGTGTAAATTTAAGCCTATACAAATACATATAAATGATATCAAAATTTAAAAACTTTTAAATTTGTTTTTTGGCTATTTTAACTATCATTAATGTATGTAGATTGGAACTTTGGAAAGATCAATTATATATTGCTCGTATTGATTTTGTAACTTCTAGGCTTGTAAATTTTAACCTCTTAAAAATTGTCCACAAAAGGTTTTGGAGCCAAAGTTCATAAATTCAATTAACATTACGCTAAGCTCTAAGGATCTAATATTACAGTGTGACCTCACCCACTTCATTCACCATATCTGGCTCTGTGTAACTCTGGCTCTTCCTCTTAGTCCAATGACCATGAAAGGTAAACAGTTTGAGTTGATTCAAGACATCAAGCAGCCACAGCAGCACAACTAAGGATGCTCATAAAAGAGGACTTCAGAAATTGGCAAGAGGAAGGGTAAGTGTGTTTAAATTAAGGGGAGTATTTTGAAGGGCATTAATGGCAATGTGTCTCTTACTGTAATAAATTTTTTCAAAGTTTCAGTATTTAATATACATTTCAGTCATACCTACTGATATTAAAATTTAGACAGAAAGTATAATAAAGTGTAATAATTAAGTTGAAATTATTTGCAACAGTGTTTAAAGTTTATAAATATAATCCCTTTAAAATATAATTATTACAATTTAATGTAGTCAAGCATATGTAGCAAATGTTTACATTTTTATGATCTTAAACATTTTGCTGAAAGAATAATTTATATGACTTATTAAACTATCATGACATAGAGTTAATTTGGTTTTTCTAGGACTAACCAAATCCCAAGCCTTACAGAAAAGAGCATGTATGTTTTAAACTTACTACACATTATAATAAAATCAGCAGAACATATAGCTTTAATAACTTTATTGGGATAAAACTCACATATAGACAGTTTACTCAATATTTTTATATATTCACAAGTAATGTGTAACACTCACCACAATCTTTGGAACAGTTTCATCACCTCAAAAGCAAACTCTCCACCGTTTAATTATGACTTCTATAGTCCTCATCCCCCCACATCTAAACAATCACCAGTGTACTTATGCCTCTAAGGTTCTCCCTTTTCTGAACATTTTGTAAAAAACAGAATCATAAAATATGTGGCCTTTTGTGACTGGCTTATCCATGTTGTAACATGTACCAGTGCTTCATTTCTTTTATGATTTAATAATATTCCATTTCATGGATCAGCAATGCTTTATTTATCAATCAATGTGCATTTAAGTTGTTCCCATTTTTTTGGCTGTTATGAATAATACTGTGGTGAACATTCAAGTATAAGTTTTATGTGGACAAATAATTTGACTTCTCACAAAGCAGAATCACTAGGTGAAAGGGTAACCGTTTATTTACAGAAGAGCCACACTGTTTCCCAAATTGACTGCACCACTGTAATATAAATACAGTCAAAAAGATGGGCAGCAAACAAAATAAGTAAATGCTAAAGGTCATAAAGAAAAACATACAGGTTAGACTGTGCTTGGTAGTTAAAATTTTACATGAAATGAGGTCACTTCCTCTGTGAGCTTTCATTCAGAGACAAAACAAAACCCAACAAGACAATAAGACAGCAGAGTTTTTATCAGCACAAAAATACTTAGATTCACAAAGGTTAGACAACATGGCCAAGATTTCAAGGCAGGTAAGTGATGAGACTAGAATTTAAATTCACATTACTCTGGCTTTAAAGTTCACATTCTTTTCACTACTTCACTTTTTCACAACTGTGTTTTTTGCTAGAAGAGTTCATTCCTTAAAATGTATGTACAATGCATTTGGGACAAAAATAATAAATATATGGCTTTCACTATCCTCAACCAGCAGTCCCAGCTGATAATATGAATACATTCAAAAATATTTGGAGACAGTTCATGCATAAATATATCATAAATATGGCAGAGAATAACCATTCTTTCCTACTGTCTCTCAGAGCCTCTTCTGGAGCAGAACATTACATATTACAGTTGGGGAATTTCTACACTGTTGCAATTCTAATTTTTTTAAAAAGAACTTTCTTGTATTAATGACACATTGGCATTTAGGCAGGTTTATAATTTTGGATCCTATCCAACTTTTTTGATAAGCATTCCCTTACAAGCTAGAAACAATCTGCTTAAGAAGAAGAAGTATTAAAGGTTTTATGTTAGAAATTCTCCTTTAACATTAGTCAAGTTTTCTAACACATATGCATACTGCTGGTACTGTTTCCAAGGGGATTCCTCTTAGCATTATGAATCCATTCAATAAAATGAAACCACTGATTCAGCATAACAACTGAGCTCATAATGAGATAAGTGATCTGAAGACAAGGTGACACTGTCATTCATTACCTCAAATCAACATGCAGTTTGGAGTTTTATTAGTTGTCTTTATTTTTTCCACATTCTCCCTAACTGTCTTAATGATACAAAAAACTGAACTTTTAACTTACCCTTCATCATTTCACTACCCCTTAGCTTTTACCTCTGTGTCGCTTACAGTTCAATATCCAGTGAGTACTTTATCCATTGAAATAAACCCTGAAAGTACAGGGAAATGAATAAAGATCATCTTTCAGTGAGCAGCTCTATGGGTGTCACTCAATCTGAGGCCTGTGTGGAATGCTCATTGGCCTGCATTTGACCTGGAGCTCTCTAAATCCCGACTGGTGGAACATTATAAAGACATAGCCCATTCTATGTGTATTTATTTATAAAGCTCATAATGCACTGCTTGTACTGCTATAGTACAAACATGCATAAAATATAAATAAATGGAAATCCTTTAAAATGAAATCAACATTTCAGATGACTTTAAAGATGTTTCTCATTTACTACTCTTTTTAAAGTAAAAAAAAAAACTTGAAAAAAAAAGATGTTGCAAGTTGTGGAGAATCTTTGCTATTACAAAAACCTAAAAACTAATCACATTTATATAAGAGCAATGTAATTGAATAGACAAATATTTCTTGATTTGATATATTGTGATTCAGCAGCACTAGGTTCATTTTGCTTTGAGACTTGATTTTAATGGCTATCATAGCAAAAGAACATTTTTAAAATAGCACTGCCTTAGTCTGTACAATGTATCCACAAGAATTTAGGGGAGACACGCATTTAGTCTGTAGAATTCCATGCCTGCTCTTCCAAAGTCTCCTCAGATGCAAAATACATACATTTCAGCTAAGTAACCTCAAGAGTCTCAAATCATTCCAGAATCAAGTTTAAAATCTATAGTCCAAATCTCATCTAAATAGAATCAGATATGGGTGAGAGTTGAAGTACCATTCAATCTGAAACCAAATTCCTCTCCAGTTGTGAAACTTTGAAACTGAACAAATTATTTGCTTCAGAATACAATGCTAGGCTGGGTATGGTGATACATACCTGTAGTCCTAGCTCCTAGGGAGGCTGAGGTGGAAGGATCACCTGGTACAGAAGTCTGAGGCCAGCCTGAGCAGTATAGCAAGATCCATCTCAAAACAAAAGAAAACAGAACAAAATACAGTGGTAGAACAGGAATATGCTGGGCATATCTGTTCAGAAAAGGAGAGGGAAACAAGGAAGTTGGAACAGGGTATGAAGTAACTCAAAACCTTCCTAGGGTAAACTTCATTAGATCTTAAGGCTTGATGTATTTTCCTTTTCTGACTTAATGAAATTTCCAAATCTTCAGGTTCTGCTTCATTTTTGCTTAACAAGTCCCTCTTTAAATTATATCTTCCTTTTTGCACTTTACTGTAATCACGTGGGAAGAGCAAAGCCACATTGTCAACACTTTGCTTTAAAAATCTCTTTAGCTACATTTCTTTAGCTAAAAAATCTCTTCAGTTTATCTCTTTAGCAGTTTCATTGCTCACTAGTTCTGTTCACAAAGCACCAGAACATGAACACAAGTCAAGCAAGTTATCTGCCAACATACTCCACGCAACTGAGCAAATATAAAATGCTCTGTGTCACAGTACTTGAAAAACAGTGAATGCGTGAAAGCACTGGTATTAATTCCTCTCCTGCCTTCGTTCCTGTATCTGTCAAGTTCTCCAGAGAAATAGAAACAATAGAGGAAAAGGAGAGAGATTTATTTTAAGGAAATAGCTCATGAGCCTGTGGGGTTGGCAAGTTCAGATTCTATAGGGTGGGCCAGCAGGATGCAGACTTCCTCAGAGAATCGTTGGTAGCATAGTTTTGAGTTCAAAGGCACAGTAGAGGCAGAAGTCCTTCTTCTTTTGGGATTTTTTTTTTCTTCTTAAGGTCTTTTACTCATAAGATGAGGCCCATCCACATTATGGGAGATATTCTGCTCTACTCAAAGCTAACAGATATAAATGTTAATCATATTTAAATATTATATTCCTAGCTACATCTGCACTGGAATTTCCTCAAACATCTAGGCACCATAGCCTGTGGTAGTTGATACATGAAATGAACCCTTACATTTCCTCATGTGGTGGACCCTCTCGAGCATACTTGTGGTACCTCCCACTGCAGCTCAGAGGGATGTGGGGGATGCCTGAGGAGGGCCTTCCTGATTCAACAGAGTTGGGGGTAACTCTCAGTAAGGTGTACCTGTGTGACCTTGATGAACGGGTCCATGAGTAGAAAGACTACACTTTGCATACTTGCTCTTGGCCATGACATTATACTAGTGATTAAAACAGAAGAAGTTTCACAGAACTAACTTTCCAGTGGGTACAATTAAAAAAATGTACATCCACAGAAAAAAATCAATACTGTTCCACAGAACAGAAAGAAACTAATCAGCAGAAAGGTGGCATTGGAGCCAGACCTTGACGAATAAATTATTAACAAGTGCATGGGAAAGTGTTGTTTAAAGTATAAATTGGAGATTTAATAAATGCTACTGAGTTACTTTCTAGGGAACAACAGTAACAAAAATTATCTCTTTTGGGAATTAATTCATAGAAATAAAAACGCATTATTGTTTTCCTTTTAAAACTGGGCTGACCTTTTATCTTCTTGGTTTCTTTTAATTGTACAAGTATTTAATTTTTAAAAAGATATTAATAGATATTCTCATTTAAAATGCCCTCTTAGAAGCTCTGTATTTAGAGATGGCTAATAAAAAATTAAAATTGATAAGCCCTAGAAAACAAGGATAAACATTCAAGAATTTCCTGACAAAAATAGAAAAATACTGTATATCGGGAATTTCCCAAATGAGTTGATATCTTAATAAAAATTTCTGCAACAGATCTTTCTTTATGCCTTCCTTTTTATAGTAATATTTGTGTCCACACATTCATACACCCTACCACCTTGAACGAATAAAGTCTCTGACCAGACGGCTTCCTGCTGCCGCCCTCTCTTTTTCTCTATCAGCATCTCAAAATATCTAGACTTGATAAATACCCTAAATTCTGAATTTTTAGGTGTTTGGAGTAGCAATTATTAAAAAATGTCCACTACAGACAAAGTCTACAGTCAGAGACAAGCCAAGGATACAGGTAAATATTGATGATTTCAGTATTGTAAGCTCTTATGTTCTATATATCACAACATAAGACATTGTGCAGATCCACATCTGTTTTTAATTTTGTAGCTGTTTGCCTTTAGTTAAAAATAGATGTGATGATTGCCAATTATTCTTCCTGAGAGATTAATGTAACAAAATACACATGGACAGAGGAAATACCAAGCCATCTCAGCACAATGTACTTTTATCAGACTATTCAAACATGGTGTCTAGTACTTCAGAACTTGTTAACAAAACAATAAAAAATCTGATAATTTTTTTCCTTTACATAAGACATTATCAATTCTTGCCTCACTCTTTTTAAAATTATTTGTAAAAGTGATGGACATTTGTGGTTATTCTCATTACATCGCTAAAACCAAATGTTCTCAGTCAAGGACAGATCAACCCACAAAGGCTACGGCAATTGGCAAGTCCCCAAAGGACAAGGTGTTTGATGAAAAAGGGGAGAAGTGAGGTGAGATCTCAAACTGCCCAGCACTCGGTCCTGAGATACTTTTGTCTGTTACTCCAGTTTAGCCCTCACCTCCATGCTTTTTTGTAACTTGTAACCAAGGATTGTAAGAACTTGGGAACTTTAGATAGTGTTGCTAGTATTCTCTTTTGTAGATGGTCTGTTTTTCCTCTTTTCTTTTTTCTTTTTTTATTGGTACATTCTAGATATACAAAATGATAACATTCATCATAAGGAATTTGTACCTTTATGTGATATATCATGACTCCTCTCTTATTCCCATTCACCCACCTCTTTTCAACCCCTCTTCACATTCTTACTTATAAAACCTTTATTTCTATTTTTTCCTTCTATTCTCTTTCATTTCTTGTCCCTTCTTTCTTTTTGCCCTCCTTCCTCCCTTGTTCCCTTTCTCATTTGAACATTTTCTTACCATTTCCCAATATGTATTATACATTTTGGTCCTTATTTATGCTTTTGGTACCACACAACAGAGAAACAATGCAGTATTTATGTATACACAATGATGTATTTCACTTGTGCGTGGTCTCAAGGTACATACATTTAGCTAGAAATGTGTCAAGCTTAGTCTTCTTTATGGCAGAGTGGTACTCCATTCTATTAAAAATAAAAACCACATCTTTGGCCATTCATCAGTTGATGGGCATTTGGGTTGGTTCCAATATTTAGCTATTACAAACTGTGCTGCTATAAACATGGATGTTCAGATATCACTGTCATATGATGCTCTTAATTCTTTCGGGAATGTCTTGGTTACTTTTCTCTCGTTGCTGAGACAAAATACCCAACACCCAAAATGAAGGAAGGAAAGGTTTATTTAGCTTACAGTTTGTGGAGGTTTCAGTCCATACTTGGCTGGCTCTGAGGTAGAAGGTAGCAAAGCAACAAGATCAAATGGGGGAATGGCAGCCAAACGGCAAAGCAGCCAGAGCAAAAAGGGGTGAATGGCGGCAAGCAGCATCTTTTTTGCCTTACATCGTAAACAGACTACCCCCACCTAAGGGGCGTGTAGCTGTCACATAAGCTCCATGCCCTCCTCTTCCACAGGCTCAGGATGTATACAAAGTAAGTATCCTGGCTTCCTGCTGAGTTACTTAGCCAAACCTCTAGACTCCCCAAGTTGACACAATGTATCAACCATAACAGGGAAGATACCAAAAGTGGGCATATCTGGGTTAAATGAAACCTCTAGTTTTAGTTTTTTGAGGAACTTCCACACTGATTTCCACAGTGATTTAACCAGTCTACACTCCTGCTGAGAGTGGAGAAGGGTTCCTCTTTTCCCACGGCCCCATCAGCATTTGTTATTGGTTGACTTCTTGATAATAACCATTCTTTCTGTAGTGAGGTGGAATATCAGCATTGTTTTAATTTGCATCTCTCAAATGCCCATATGTTTGCTGTTTGTGCTTCCTCATCTTAGAACTGCCTATTCATTTCAAATGCACATTTTTGGATTGGGTCTTTAAATTTGGGAGGGTCTGACTTTTTGAGTTCATTATATTTTTGAGAGATTAATCCTTTATTTGAGGAAGAGATAGCAAATATTTTTCCCACACTGTG